ATAACCGTTGTTACCGAATCGCCAAAGAAGCCGGGTGCACAGCAATATGACGCCGAATGTCAAGTGCACTTGCCAGCACAGCAATAGCTGACAACATCGCCATAACACTCCCAAGCATCATCAGAACTCATCCTTTTCGAAAGCGGTGGCAGTATCCTGTGGACAGGACATACCCAGGTTAATATGGGTGGTTGTCAAAATTCTGGTCCCTTGTTGGGTAGCCTAAATATTGGTGGTTGTCAGAAGTATGGTCCCTTTTTGGGTAGCCTAAATGCCGTATTATAATAAGGACCCAAAAGGTGCCCTAATATGTTGACAACCACCCATAACAGCAACAGACGGAGGCTCTGGTCCGAAGTCATCCACAAGGAGGCCAAGGACCATCCCAGCCACGCGCTGAACACGCACCCGAGCCTGCGGCGTATCGCGGCCTTGCAGTTAGAAAGGGTGGGGGCTGCTGCCAGCGATTGTCTTTCCGCAGTCGTAGTATATTCCTTCATTTCCTGACTGCTTTGCTTTTCAACATGGATGTTTCTCATGGTGGTCGGGCGAGTTCAAGCAATCCTTTACTGAAATCACGGTCTTCATGATGATGACGATGATGATGGTTTACTGCCTCCCTCCGCCTCCTCCTGCTCCTCCTACCTGCCGCTGCTGCTGTTGCTGCTGTGGTGTTGGCGTCGTCGTTCGCATCTTCTTGTTTCGCACGGTGTCTTACCTTTGTGTTTGTGTTCAACTTCACAATTCCCATCAAGATCTGCCTACCGCGATGATGAGGACGATTCTGGTGGCTCGCCCTTGAGGATCCTTTCCTTCAGGGAGTGCTGAGATCGAAATCCTACAACCGTACTCTAACCCTGACGTCGCAGATGCCCACAGAGTCTTGAAGTTTTGAACAGTCCTTCAAGGCAGCCACCTGGAGCCACCTGGGAATCCCAAGGAGGGCGTCGCCGGAGAGGGTGGCTTACTGCTTGGGCTTCCTGGGCTCCGATGCTCTGTGGACCCTGGGGTCCTAAAGTTGATGGAAAGGCGAAAATTCGGTGTGCAAGGCTGCTCCTTCGAATCCGACTTTCCGCTCCATGCCACTCCATGCCCACACCTCCTAAACCCTAAACCGTAATTCCTCAACCCTCACCCTACATGGCAGCGCATTCCGAGCCCACCCAGCGATGGGGCCATGGGAGCTCTGAACCCTTACCCAGAGACTCCAACATCCCTTAACAAAGGAATGTACTTTACATTATATATAATTTAAGGTATATACCTAAGGATCCTACCGTAGTGGAAGGTGTATACCTTAATTCAGGGATATTGGAGTCTCTGGGTAACAGGCTCCAGGACCCTTTCAGGAGCTCATCCCTGGGATCCGACCCTGAGCTAAACTTACTGCGAATGCAGTTTAACGATCTCAAAATACCATAGTAGAAGAAGTAGCCCAAGCAATGGTGATAAGGGAACAAGATGAGGGCATGTCAAAGGGACGGCTACCATGCAAACTATTTGCGATGCAAACTGCTTCTTTTGGGCTGCCTTTCCAGGAGGCCTGTGTGAGCGCACTCCCCTGTGACCTGAGCCGCCCACAGCCTTCAACCACTTTGGAGGAGTTCTTTAACAACTCTTGGTGCGCCATCGGAAGGAGCCTGAGGCCCAGCTTCATGCGCTGCAGCATCTGCCCCTGTATAGGGGCCTCAATAGTTACCTATACTGTTTTGGGGGTTCCTCATCATAACTCTAGTGCATCGGCCTCAGTACAGGCCTGGCGGGTGCTGAGGGGGCCAGTTTGTGGCTCCAGATGCCCTTCGAAAAAACGCCTCCAAAGCCCTTCAAAAAGAGGTCTCAACTGGCGCCGATCACCGATCAGCCGATGCTGTTGCAAGCACTGAATCTGAACTTTTTAGCCCTCTCCAGAATCCTCACCTTGAACCCAACGAAACCTCCAGGTTACCATCAGGCAGCTGGCGTTCCCTCGCCCTTCGTGCAGATGTCGAGACGCGCGGTGCTGAGTCGAAACGGTTCTGGCCAGGGTTTCATGTTTTAAGGTTTAGGATTTAGGCTAGACTTGAGTCCAGTAGCAGAAGAAGGGTTTCCCGTCGTGCTAGGGTTCCTGCACACAGGTATTGGGAGATGACTGTCCTGTGACAACTAAAAGGAGTCCAGCGGTGTCGTGAGAAGGTGGCTACACTGGGTTCTGGGTTGGCCTTAGGGCCTGCCGTTACATGGGAGTTTCCGTACCATATTTTTTGGGGTCCTCATAATCAGGATCCTACTATGTAAGGTGCTACATTTTTTCTTCGGCCTTTTGCACTCAATTCTTCGGCTTGGTTTCTGCCCGAGGCCCGAAACCCAAACCGGAAGAACCTGGGAAATGCGCCGACCGACATTTTTGGCCTATTCCAATTATTGTTGCGGCCCCTTATCTTCGCCACTCAGCCTGGTCACCTCTCGCAGGCTACATGGGCGTCCAGCAGCCGCTTTCGCGATACTCGGATGGCAAAAACGA